TGTATAATTCATAATAATTAAAATGTTGTTATAAAAAAATAGACATGTCTGTTTTTTCTGGTGAGCCCTTGAATTTTGACTGATCGTATAGGTAAACATTTTATTTTTTAAACAATTAAATTCAAATAAATTATAAAACTGTTAATTCATTTACTTACTGGAATGTTTAATATTTCTATTGAATTAACAGGATGAAAATTGTCCAGTCCAGTAATGTCAGCCTGTATGTATGTCTGTCGGTTCATCCTTATATTACATCAAAATATTAAACACCGTCAAATTAATGTAATTACTAAAAAAAATCGAATTATTCACTTACTGAATCATTGAATACAACTTTTGAACAAGGAGGCCCAACGTTTATAAACTGAGATGTCCGGTGAGCTAGTCCAACCCTGAATTTATACCTAACATTAAATTTTGTCGTACAAAATGGCGCACACCCGCCTATCACGTGCGTGCGCTCAAATGGGACCTTCTGATTGGCTGATTGAACGCTATTGTGTAAACGAAAAACAGCAGCCATTTTCTAACAAGGGCAGGTCACAGTAAAGGCGTGACGGATATTCTTCAAATTGCGAATATAAATGTTATTTATTTTTATGTTTTACATCATTTATTATACTTCTCGTACAGATGATTGAATTACACATTTGTTTTGTATAATTGCACTATTTTAGAATTCAACCTGTAAAGTTGTAGGACTATTAATACACGTTAATGATTAATTAAACTTATGACATATTATGACTATTACATAGTAAAAAAAAATGTTGTTTTACTCGTTTACTAGTTTTTTAAATTCAAATGTTACAATTTTTATTTAAATCGCCAAAAGCCGCGAACAAAAAATAACCTATTTTGGTTGTGCTGGAATACACTTATTTGCTTATTTGCTCGGTTGGGTTTTAGTGAGTTCTGTGTATACAATCTGTCCAATTTCTCCAGCGCATGTGCGAGTGTGTGTTCCACTTTACTGAAAGTTTTCCCCTGCGCAGTTGTCGCTAAATCGTCGGCATTCAGGAAACGACGAGTAGTTCCCATAATGGTCTGGTCATTTGTATAGACATTAAAAAGTATTGGTTATGAAATGTATTAAAAAAAACATTTTTGGGTTTTTAAAAAGCTCGGAATTTTAACAGCTGATTAAAAGCTATCCGAATAGAATAAATAATAATAATGGCTTTTTAAATCATTGTTAGGTATTATTGGTTGTTATTTATTATTATATAACAGAATTCAGTTTTACGTTATTCTTATAACAGTATTCAGTTTTTCGTTATTCTTATAACAGTATTCAGTTTTTCGTTATTCGTCATCACGTCTCAGCAACATACTCGATTTTGTGAAACATGATGTCACTTAAATTGTATGCGGCCGGCGGATTTGTGGCGGGGTTCGGTTGTGCCTACCTGGTTGACTATTGCTGCTCTCGGTGGTTACAATCCGTACGTATGAATTTCAAAAATATTTCATTGTCATACTTAGGGAAACGGTCGCACACACAACTCCGCTTGTCCAGGGCCAGCTGACAATCTTTACGTGTTAAGGTAAGCGTCCATATGTCCGCATCGGACGGGTCGTATCAATCGGATGTGCAATTTTTCCAGTATTGGCTATAGCACACTAAAATCCGTCCGATGCGGACTTGTGGACGCGCACCTTTAAGGCCGGGTGCAAGAAAACGATTATCTATTGAGTTTTTGGGCATACGTAAACCGCGCCTCGTTTATAATTTGGTTTAAAAAACGTATGTGTAAACTGCGCCCGAGTTTTTATCAAGTGGAAAAAGGTTAGTACCTACATGTAAGCTGCGTCCAGCTTCTCGTCATCGGTATGAAATGCAAACAGCGTCCGAATCAATACAATCACGGGAATATTAACATTTTAGGGTTTCTACCACTTTTACCAAATTGCATAAATTGCCATGACGAGGTTTCTTGTCAGCATGTGGAATTAGTATTGATAATGAGGACGGCAGATATCCGAGTGTTTTAGCACTCGCTCGCTATTTGGCCTCGGATAAACATACATGGATGTCGCTTTCATTTAACACAATCGTACATTTTTATTATAATGTATATATATATAAGTTTAATACAATATAATACAGGGTGGGCCACGGAAATAGGGACAAAAATAGATGGGTTTTTCTCAACATTGAATGGGAGTAGGCAGGTCTAGATAAGCTCATTCGATCCGTCAGATGTCATTTAGTTATCACTATAGCGCAGTGGAGTGTCGTTCACCGTGTGTTTGCGTACGACGCGTTTGTGAAAAACAATGAATCGATAGTTAAGGTGCAGCGTGCCCCCGCTGCCAACGAATAGGGTCAAAAATAGATAGACATAACTCAGTATATTTTAGATGTACAAACATTTTATTAATATTTTATGATATGTAAATGAGTGCCATTTCATTTTTTAAAAATTACATCAGACATATGACGGCCATCTTCTTTATAGCATGAAACAAGTCCGACGTTGAAATAAAGCCCGAATGCACGCCTTTTCACGCCTGTAAAAAACTAGATATTAGGCATTTAACAGGAGTCCCTTCTCACCCGACAACACACGAATCTCCCGCTCAACTCATGTTGGGTCATTCGACACAAACACTATTTGATTTATTAATACCAAACACCAACGAAGTAGTTATTAATAATCAAGTAACACAAATAAAAAACGGGGGTAAAAGAGACTTAAATTTAGATAAGGAGGATGGTGTGTTAGTTAAAGATTACAGAAAAACAGGTGAAAATTGGCAGAAGGGTACAATTACTGATAATATTAGTCATAATACTCATAAAGTAGTTTTAAATGATGGTTCTGACTAAGGCACAATGATAAGATATGACCACACGGCCAAAAAGAAAATGAGTTGTCTCCTGCTTTTAATTATTCAGACACGCCTAGTGTTGACCAAACAAACTCCATGCAACATATGGTGAAATTGTCTACCATACGCCAGTGCTACACCGGCACAACTTGTCATTCGTGTAATTTGGGTTTCATAACAAACATCAGCGAATATTATTATTTATATTAATCTAACTGTGTATAACAATGTCCATAATAAAAATAAGGAATAGGAGAGGAGAAATGTGACCGCCTTGGGGAACTCCAGAGGTAGTAGGAAAACGTGAGGATAGATGGTCGTTTACTTTAACTTGTTGACATCTGTTTGACAGGTAAGAGCTAAACCAGGATCGAAGAGGATCAGAGATGCCTATGGATTTAAGTTTAGAAATAAGGATTGAATGGTTAACAGAGTCGAACACCTTACTAAAATCAGTATATATATATATAACGTCTACTTGAAGGCCAATTTCCGTAGATTTTATTAAGTTAGATAGAAAACAAATCTAATTAGTGTCAGTCGACCTGCCAGATAAAAAACCATGTCGATTGGAGTCTAAGGTATTTTTAAATGTCTGTGCGAAAGTGGACATTATGAGTTTTTCTAAAAGCTTAGGAATTGGAACGATTTTTGCTTTTGGTCTGTAATTAGATACTATAGATTTGCCCCGGTTTTAAAATAATAGACACATTCTTTTAGGCCGACCGCGTCTACGCATGATACCTGTTGCTCCAATTGCGAAATATTAATATAACTTATATACTACTCTAATTAATACTAAATATTTCAGGGGTTCATAACAGTGTATCTGAGTATTTTATACATTTTTTAATGATATCTAAGCCCGACGACGAAAGAGTGACACGTTTGCGAATTATTTAGTAGATTATTATAGTGTGAAGAAGTCAGTATCCACCTGAAATATGGCTCAAGCATCAGAAGAGCCATTTTTAACCATCAATGCATGCGAGTCATTCCATACCCATTTTAGTTCTAGTTTTCTCCTTGTTCCCAAGTCCATTCGGCCGACTGACTTAACAAAAACAAAATGTACACGCACAAGAACTAATTAGTCATTTTTTTCCCCTTACTTTTTAATTTTCTCAATGTTCTTATGTTAAAAATTTAAAACTAATATATACGCAAAAATGGGAATACTTTTAAATGAATATATTTATAAAAAAAAATGCAATGGATACAAAAAGTGGTTAAATGTTATTTCATATTTTTTTTTAGAACCGCCATTGTTAAGACCATTTTTTAATAAATAATAATATAATTTTACTTAATACTAATAAAGAATAACAAATATACGAAGTAAAACAGGGCTGTGTATACTTTCGTACCTAAGAAGGTATATTTGGCAGGTAATTCATCCGGCGCGGCAACTTTAAAACATTAACTTCCATTTTGTACCTATACACTTAGCAATACGTACTAAAAAATATATAGATTATAGGTGATACCTACACGCATTTATAAAATAAACAAAGATAACAGTTCAATAATAGGTAAACAGTTTTCTAGAGATAATAAAATATCGTTTTTTTGGTGGTGAAAAATATACGTTCGGACTTTTTGTCTCTTTCAAAATGCCATCTGGAAATATTTTTTAAAAACAGCCTCGTTTGAGTCGTTAGCTAATAATTACTCCTTAATAATATGTCATGCTGGCAGCACAACTAACACCATTAATAATCGTATATTGTATACAAGTATTGTTAGTGTTGGCACTACTGAGAGGCGGTTTTTTTAGGGGCGGCGTTTTGTCCGGCGGCGTTTTGTCGATTTTTTATCCGACGACGTTTTGTCGATTTTTTGTCCGGCGACGTTTTGTCGTGTTTCCGTTTGTCAGTCTTTTAAATATCTATGGATAAGGTGAAATTACTCATCTTCGAAAAATGGATTTTGTGATCATTAAGTTGTCTATTTATCACTTGATCAATCGAATACATTGTTTGATAAAAATATTTTTCATTGAAATTGTATTAAAGCAGATTAGGTAACATTATTTGAAAAATGTTAAAAATGTCATACTAATAACATTATTATTTTTTTAATGTCACATATTTTAAATTTTACATTTGATAAAATATACAAAAGTGATACGCCATGTGTTTTATTAAATTTTAATTTATAATATAAAACATACAACAATAATTAATATAAAGGAAAAATATATACAAATAAGTTTAACACGACAGAACTTATTTTACAGTCTTAAAAAATTACTGTCAAAAAAAAAAAAAAATTAGATCACTTTTAATGGTGAGGCACACGTTGTATACACTTCAAAAGAATTTCCTTAGTTACAGGTTGTTCAATGCTATGACAAATAGCTAAAAGAAATAAAATACACATTATTTGTAATATAGTTAACAACTAAAATGGTCGCAAATTAATTACCTATAGCTGTTTTAAAAGCATTTGGAAATGATTTGTCTGTACGTTCTCGCATGAATTTCCAATTTCCATTGTCAAATTTACATTCAATTATTTTACCATCCATATTTTTCAATTCCTTATTATACTTTATTCTAGCGAATGGCTCGTGTTTGCCACCCACATACAAATATCCAACTTTCGATTCTAACATGCTTTACATTAAAAACAGATGTATTAGCTATCCACATTCCAAAAAGAATATATTTGATATATTAGAAATAACAATCACCCAGTTCCTCCTTCAGTGACAATTTTAAGCTTGAAATCGACAGAATTTAACTCCAAAGGTTTCCATTTTAGTACTTCTGGGCAGGTACCGGCAACATAAGGCTAAATAAAAATAATAAAAAAATATGAATTTAATTATTTCTTTAAGTAAATTAATGAATTTAAATAATATCAAGTTTTCTAAAAGTTTCAATAATAATACATAATACGCCTACTTCAAAGTTTACTATGAATCTTGAGTTACGGATACTTTTTTTTTTCTTAACAGGTTTGATGGGAGATTGAGTACCCCCAACAATTTGTTCAGAAATTGTAGTGTACTCCTACTAATTTTTATAAGTATTGGTTTTTAGGGGTAAAAAAATGCCGGGTACGCTCGTTTATTTTAAACTAAAAACGCCCCCCTCCACTTTTATTTTTCTAATTCGAGCACTGGTGATACATATGATCAATAAAGAACGTTATAGGATTTTGATATTTTTGTATCATTAATTATATTATCTATAAAACTAGTTTTAGCTTACATCAGACGATGGTTGAAATATTAGACCATCAGGTTCATGTGATAAATTTTTGCTGAAATTTCCAAGTAACTTATCAGAAGCAGTGATATCGTAGAATTGTTTTAATCTAATACTAAATGGTTCCCGAGTTTTGTCTAATCGTCCACTTACAATTGCTTGGTGTCTCGGCTTAATTATATCAATCTGAAAAAATATTAATTAATTAATAACATAAACTCGATCAGTGATTATTCTAATACATCAGTTAATGATATTTTAAAATACAACTACTTACTTCAATCAACTTTAGCCTGTTTGGCCAAAATGGCTGATTACCTATATCATAGCCTTCGAATGCAACCACATCATATACTAAATATCGTGGAAAATTTTGATTGTCGACTTTGTCTATAATCATTTCCTATAATAACATTATTTCAGCGTTAAGTTTTTGTGAATAATCTTGAATGTTTTTATACAATTTATTTTTTTAAATTATACTCACTCCGTCCAGCAAAGTATCTTTTAAATGATGATCAAGATTTTTACGGTGAAAAAATTTAAGGTCAACTACTTCAAACACACTATTGTCTCTATCGATAAAATATACTTCATTTTCTGCTTGAATAAACATCATATACCTATAAACATATAATACTAATTTTATTTATTGAGTATAATGTTATAATGTAATACTCTATAAATAACCAATCTGCCAATGTGTGCCAACTCAATACTAGGGGTATGTATATTATTTATATATATAAATCTATACACCCAGCAAAAATGTGGACCTAATACATGTGATATAAAGAAGATATTATTTTGCTCTAGAAGGAAAGTTTGAATATAGGTGAACAAAAAAAACTGGGAAATTGTTTAAATACACTTTTGCTCTGAGGTACGGATATTATAAGTACTTATATAACTTATAGTACTTATTATACTTATATAAATATATGTACTTAAATACATAATTTCTTTATATACCTTAAAATTATTAACTGTAAAGAGAGAATTAAGGGCAGTGTTGTATAAAAACTATTTTGTTACAATTACTACTTTTTAATTAAATAGTTATTTTTCATTGTCATGCTGACTCTTACCAAGGGGTCAAAAATACATAAAATCTTTAATATTTCAGTATAATAATATTAAAGTTTTTCTTATTTATGTGTGGTCACCATGTACAAACAATTATAAAACTGATAAAATTACTACAAATTGAACTAATAACTCAAAACAATTACCTAGTGCCATCGGCTTTCCATGTTACTCGATATGGTTTTGTATGCAGTAACTTCATGTTATTAATATCCATGGAAACTGGTTGAGAACCCGGAAATCCAGATCTTAATTTCGAAAGTATAACATTATTTAACAATTTGCTTTATTTAAAAATATTTACATTATTTACTTTTTCCAATTACAGAGATCTTGAACTTTTCTCTGGATAGTACTCAATTTAGGTTGATCAAGGATTGCAGTAACACCAGAAACACCTTCCATAAATACTGGATTTTTATTATTAATTTCACCACGTCGACCTCGTTTGTTATAACTAAAACAAATTTAACACAATTAGAGTTATAACAAAGAATACATAAAAAACAAATTGTACTCTATACTTTTCATGGTCTTTTCTATCATTTGAATCTTGGTTATCACGTTTATATCTTGATGTAGATTCATTTTTTGATTGATGAATTTCTTCTTCAGTTTCTAAAATAATTTAGTTTAACTGTATTATATATGTCATGTTATTATGATTACAAATGTGTAAAAACTATTCTTTTTTTTTTATTAGATTTAGTTTTAATCCAAAATTATGACTAAACAAATCAATTAGTTTTCAAATAAGATAATAATTATTACCTATACACCAATCAGGTAATTCTGGAGCTAATATAGGTTCTTCGTCTGAGTAACGTTGAAATAGTTCAACAATGTAATCTTGCTTATATATACCCGGAGGTCTATAAGTTTAAATGAACATTTTTAGTTTTCTACAGTAACTAATAGTTTATTGCCATATAATGTTTCACACATTATGTTCTTACCGAGCAGCAGCAAATTGAGCTAAAGCACTAGTGACATCAAAATCTAATACTTCAATTAAATAAGTAGCTATCATGAAACCAGTTCTATTAAATCCATGTGTACAATGCACACCTGTAATAAAAAAAAATCATGTAAACAAAGTAAATATATTTACATTTAATATTCATTTTTAGTAAGTTATTATTAATTATTAATTGAAACTAAATAACTAATAAAAATAAACTTTTTTAAACATTTTCTGCACCTCTTCTTTGATCTAAACTATCATTAATAACTTTAGGAATAATTATTTAGGAAGATTGTTGGTTTATGTTAAATGGACCAACCTGTATAATATCATATCCATAACCATAAATAAATGTATCAGGTTTTTTATAGTATAGATATTACAAAATATGCGTATAATTTACAAAGTATATATAGTTATTTAGTAATAAAATGTATTATAAAACGGTTTTAAATCGTGTTATAAAGACTATTAAATTACTTACCAATACTTTTTAAAGGATTTTTTGAAATAAACTTTGAACAAATATCTACAAATAACTGTGCTTGTTCACGTGTTGGAGGTTGTTCGTGGCCAGCACAAGGAATCTTAACATAAGTACACTCCATCTTTTCAATTTCAGACTTATCATAAAAACGACTAGTTTTAGTCAAATCAATCCATAAACCTAAATTTATCTAGGAGAAAATAATAAAAATGTACAAACATTATATAAATATAAATATATAGTTGTGAATCATTAATAATTTAGTAATTTCTTAAAAAGGTTCATGAAAATATAAAACAAGCAAACAATTTTATGCTTGTATTTGGTAAATAAGTATCTTAAAATGTTTTTGTTATTAAACAATTGTATATTAAAAAATAGGGGCAGGTGCGTGGCGAAGTGAGACAAGGTGGTACTAACACACGGTCACTGGTTTGAATCTCGGCTACTGGTGGTTTGTTCTTCTGAGTAGACAACTGTCTGGGAAAGAAATGGCCACCTGCCCACTCCCATTTATCTTTGTGGTTAGGGGAGAAAGAATACTACCAAGGTCTTCGCTCCTGTCGTAAAAAACGACTAACGCGACGTAGAGCCCATCGACAAGTGGCCTTCTGACAGGTCACTTCTTCTTGTGACACACCTTCTCCGGCCCCCAATTAGCACCCAGTGCTACTAGTCGGTTCGCAGTCGTAGGGGATCCCTTCGGGGCTAACCACTAAAGCCAAGGAACATCTGCCCACTCCCACTAATTTTTTTTTTGCATAAAGTTGTTATACAATATGATTTCAATTAAAAAAAAATTGTTTTACCTCCCTCCAAAACTAATTGAAGGGTTGCGGGGAAAAAAGATCAATGTCAATTTTTTTTCATTTAGAGAAAAACATGTTTTTAATTTCAAAACGTAATACATTTTGCCTGTATGCTTAAACTTCCGGCCGTCGTTGCTCTCGACTAATCTATTTTTTTCACTGGTTTGAGCGCATATAAAAGATATAATACGTCAATACAAATAATTTGATACCAAAATCTCATTTTCAAAAAAATTGACATTGATCTCATGGCCTAAGTTTACAGACATTGTCATTAATGTCATAGTTGTTTCATAGAAGAAGTAAAAAGTTAAATATTGGTAAATCGAAAAATTAGGTATCATTAAAAAATTAAATAAAGAAACATTGTTACAAAAGAATAAAGAGCTTGGTGACTGATCCCCTGTAATAACTTGCCTGAATAGGTGATAATATTATAATGCATATCATAATTGCTAACTTGAGAACTTGTCAGAAGTATATTTTAATAAAAGTGATGCGCCTAGATGAAAGGATATTGTCCTTCTATTGTCCTTTCTAATTTGTATATTATTGATAGTGATATAATATTATTGAGTACTTAGGTTTGTAATAACTGTTCAATAAGGATTTTTATAGTAAAATATACAGTTATCCCAAACACAACAAATGAACATTCACTTATTATTGAAAGTTTATTGATTGAAAACCAGTTATACCTTCATATTAGATAGTGATAAAAACAACATTTCTATATTGAATCTATATTGAATAGGTACTTTCTCATCATATTTGCTGTCTAAAGGTGTTTTCAATGCCAGAAACTTATCTGTAACTGGCGTAAATGATTTACGAGGACATCTAAGCCAACGATCAGGAACCGGAGGACCGTATGATGAATAAGAGGAGCCAGCTCCTCCGTACCTTCTTGACCCTGTAATAGTTTGTTTGTTTTCTTTTTTACACAGTTTAGAAATATTTAGGTTCTTAATATATTAAAACCGTTCTACTAAATTACCAGACATAATATAATTGTTGCAATTACGATATAAGTTATTGGTTGTTTATAAGATTTATATCACTGAGTTGCATATTGGAATGAAAAGGTAAATTTATTCTAAATAATATATTTTAATAACAGACCATACATTAGAATATTTAAAAATAATAACTCAGTTTCAACAGACGTCAAGAGTAAAGAACAAGAAGTTAAAACGTAAAGTTACAAACTAAGATTTTCCTGTTATCACGTTGTTTGATAACGGTATATTGTGTTTACTACGAGGACTAGAGATATACGATGTTTACAATATTATTATTGATGAAATCCATTAAAATCACCAAAGTTTTTTCATACTTTCTCTTCCATGATAATGCGTGGTTTACGGCTAAAACGCTGGAGCTAACTTCTATATCAACAAATAGCCGACAATTTTACTATATGCAGCATGAACTGAAGTTAGATTCATTTTTTTTCGTATTACCGTATTTTAGAGCTCGGCGATGCGGGCTGTCTATGTTTAGTGTTTACTAGTTATTTTCATTTTTGCATGTTAAAATTCATCAACATCAAAAACATCTTTTATTAAAATTTTTGTGTTATGTGTTCAATTAATCGACGATTATAGTAGTCTCATAAATATAATCCGTTATGGCCGAGTACCTGGCGTCAATATTCGGTACCGAAAAAGATAAGTAAGTACCGGCTCGCTTAGCTGTTTAAGTGTTTTGCTGTAAATTAAATATTTTGTCGTGTTATACATTTTGTTGCGTGATTAGTCTTATTTCTTTATACGTTTGAATAGTTTTAAACACTTATGTTTTATGTTATTAATTATTATTCTTTAGGGTCAACTGCTCATTTTACTTTAAGATTGGTGCCTGCCGCCACGGAGATCGCTGTTCAAGAATACACAATAAGCCTACGTTCAGTCAAGTATGCTTCTATTTCTTAAATCACATTGTTAAAAATATCACAATTTTTTATAATTTAATCAATGTTTATATAAATAATTCTAAATTTAGGTGGTGTTTGATTAAATTAATTATTATACTTAGATTTATAAAATATTAGTTAACAACGTAATATAAATCTTTTATTCTATATTTTAGACTGTACTATTGCAAAACTTATACGTTAATCCTCAAAACTCAGCAAAATCAGCAGATGGATCACATTGTAAGTATAATTATTGTTTTATATATTCAACGGTATCATTTTTTAAGCTGTTTCTAAAAAAACTGAAGTTCCAATTAAACCATGCAACAGTGTATTTAAACTAATGTTCGATACGCATGCTTCTCCAAGAACTCCAACAAATCACAACAATTATTAATGTTCATTTTTTTCGAGATCTATTGCTCCTACCATCTAAGAACCTGTATTAAAAATACGCAGCTCGTTTTTCTATGTCTTCTGGTATTAGTTTACCAGCTACAAAACATAGAATAAATAAATAAAATTATTAAATAGAATATATAAATTGATTTAAAGTTATTAAGCTTATTCATTTATATATATACTTATGATATTTAATAATGTCGGTAAAAAAGCATTTAGATACCATATTATAGTGTTTTAATTAAGTAATATTCAAGTACATATCCGTTAGCTTTAAAATATTAGTAGTTTCTTTTTTAATAGTAATGGATTTAGTTTTAATTTAATAATTTATTTGTACAATTATATTATTATTATTTCAGTGGTTTCTAATGTAACCGATGAAGAGATGCAAGAACATTATGATAATTTCTTTGAAGATGTGTTTGTTGAATGTGAAGATAAGGTATGCAAATTAATGATTAAGTTTTAGGCTACCTATCAGTACAGTACAGTCTATAAAGTAAATTCCTAATTAATAATCCTTTCATTATGTTATACTTTTATGAAATAATAGGAATTTTTTACCCAAATGTATTTGCAAAAAGGATATTAAGGATATTAATTTTTATTCAAAAATAAATTTAGATATTTCATATCCGTTTTGTACTTTACATTGAAATAAAAACAATGAAAATTTCCAATTTTTTTTACTTATAATTTATCATAATCTATTAAACGATCCATAATAGTTAAGTTTAATTTAAAAGAGTTTAAACTCATTCAAAATTAAACCTATGATTTAGAGATAACATGACTTATTGAAGTAGTATTACGAATAGATAATAATACATTAATGGTAAATATATTATGAATTGTTATCAAATAAATAATATAGTTAACTATTGCAAATTAAATTTTCTAAAGTCAAATCATTTAACTGTTTTTTATTGTTTAGTATGGCGAAATTGAAGAAATGAATGTTTGTGACAATCTAGGAGATCATCTTGTTGGAAATGTTTATATAAAAGTAAGTTTAAAACAAAATATTATTTAAATAATCCTTTGGCTTTTATGTGTTAGCTTAAAAGGTATTACACATTTAACACATTATTTTACAATAATGTGTTTTTTTTTTATGAGTTGAAAGTCACAATAACTTTTTCCCTGTGGATCTATTTATTTGAGTAGCAACTCTAACAATCCGTAATCATATGGCATACATTCCTCTCCACCGTTGATGTATAACTCACAAATAGTCAACATGACATTTATATTGAAGTTGGGGAAAATTCATCAATTTCTCTTATCATAGATACTTAACCTAAAAATCTTATCACTTATGGCCTTTTAACAAGCAAAATTATTATTCATTATATAATAATTTAACATGATCAATGATCATATATGAAGGGCTGCGGGGAAAAAAGATCAATGTCAATTTTTTAACATTCTGAAAAAATCATGTTTTTAATTTCAAAACGTAATACATTTTGCCTGTATACCTAAACTTCTGGTGGTCGTTACTCTCGACTAATCTGTTTTTTTCCCTGGTTCGAGCGCATAAAAGATACAATACATCAATACAAATAATTTGATACCAAAATCTCATTTTCAAAAAAAAATTGATATTGATCTTTTTCCCCCGCAGCCTTATATATGTATATAAGTAGAAGGAATATAATATTTTCATTTTTATAAATTTAGTTTCGTCGAGAGGAACATGCGGAAGCTGCAGTAAATGATTTAAACAATCGTTGGTTTGGTGGCCGACCAGTCTATGCTGAACTAAGTCCTGTAACTGATTTTCGAGAGGCATGTTGCCGTCAATATGAAATGGGGTGAGAATAGTTAAACAACTATTGTAGTGATAATTTGTTGTATTAATGTTAAAATACAATTTATATTGATTTCAGAGAGTGTACTCGTAGTGGATTCTGTAATTTTATGCACCTTAAGCCAATATCACGTGAATTAAGAAAATACCTTTATAGTCGCCGATCACGTAAACACCGTTCCCGTAGTCGATCTCGTGATCATGTTGGAACTCGCCGAACACGTTCACCTTCCCCAAGACATGGTCATCACCGTGGAGGTGGTGGAGGAGGAGGAGGAGGCGGAGGTGGAGGTGGTGGTGGTGGAGGAGGAGGAGGAGGAGGAGGTGGTGGACGTCGTGATCGTAGATATTAATTTTACATTATTAGGTTTCGTTCAATAAATTTGAAATTTCATAATTATACATTTTTTATTTTTGTTTTAACTAAAACAACAATATTTTTAGCATTTAAATTTTACTTATATCCAGAAAAGTAAAATTGTACAACAATATATATAATCAATTTTTCCTTACAACATTTAATGTTATTAATTTTAATTAGTAGATAAAATAAAAAAATTTGGAAGAAATCATTTTTATAAACAAAACAGTTCGTATTTGCTTACAATAATATTATATAAATTTAGGTTAATAATATAGTATATACAAATTTCTTTACAATTTAATGCTTTTATTTAATAACAAAGTTTTCCATAATTCTACATAGGTTTTTGTAGTATTTAATTTTTTTTTTATGCACAAAAAGAAAAATTAAAGGATAGATTTTATTTTCCCCTAAAAATGAATGAAAATGTTAGTTTTTTAGAATTGTAGATACTAATACAATATTATCAAATGTGCCACAATTCAACCTGACGAGACATACGGCGTACATGCTTTGATTCCTATCATAATTTTTAATAGCGTATAAATAGTTTTTTTTATAATTATTGTAAGATATCTGGAAAATAAAAGCATATTGTAAAAAATATTTTGACAAAATTTCCAGTTCATTTATGTCTACTAAAAATCACAGTCATGGGAAAATGTAATGGACTTATTATTTATGGTATAATCTGAGTGTTTAGTATGGCAATCAATATGGCTAAGATCATAAAGTTGATTTTATCAATATTATGGATTCTTAAAACCTGTAAAATTATCCTCACGGTATTAATATCAATAGATAATTATAATTAAACAGTTTTTTAGTTTAATTGAATTTAAATAAAGAATCTATTTATATATTTATAATAAATAATAAGTAGTTACATGTATATTACAGTTTTTTTTTTCATTATACTTTTTTTTAAGACTTGTAATAGAAATAATTGAAAATATAATATAAAGTCATTACATGCCACAGAGTCTGACTTTAGTATAAATGTAATGTAATGTTTTATAGGCTTATGAACTTTAATTATAATTTTCTTTTCGTGTGTTTTAGACATCTTATGGAAATCAAATTTATTGTTTTTAATTTTTCATTAGTATTTTTGTGGCATAAAATAAAACAGTGTATCAGTGATACGATTATTAATTATGGCGTACTTGAAGAAAATACAAACTTAATAGTTTGTTCCGGCTTATATATTTATATATTTTTTTATAAGATACGTCAAACAATTTAACTGTTTAACTCAACTCATATTCATTGTGGAGTATAAGTATGCAATTGCTAATCTATCGGTTCGGTAAACTGAAATCTTGCATAGAAGTATGCGATTCGTTAGCCAAACATAAAAATACTTTTAAATCCATAGTAAAGATTTTAATATAAATTAAATATTCAAAACTTTCAGTATTTGAACACCTTGGGGTATTAAGTAAATCTTTGAGGGTGTAAAACTAGTAATGGTGGAATGGAAGGGTTCCTGTAACAGAAGATGGTTTTGAATAACGGAAATACTGATAAGGCTACCAGGTAACTTTAATGCTTGTCTGTTCGACTGTCTATGGAAAATAGTTGTCGGCGAAATACCCAAAGTAAATAACTCTGGAGCGTAAACCACCTTGATACTTCTTTAAAAATCAGTGTTTAAGACAATAAAAAAAATCAAAGGTTGTTTTTTCGTTCACTATGTTTTTCGTTTCACTATTGAAGAGTTAGTTAAATTACTTGATAGTTTTTTAATAAATAGTTTTGCGACAAATCGACCAAGAGTAAGGTTTATTTAGAAGTGACGTTCTAAATAAACAGAATAAAACAGGTGTAAGTTAAAAATTACAAAAATTAATGGATGAATCATGCAGAAATAATTAGCAACTGTTGAAGTATAGGTTTGATACATTTATTTTTTGTACACCGCCAAGGTCACCCAGAAACCAGAAAGACCTATGTTTTAACTTTTAGTAATTTTGTAAGGGTAAATAAATCAAAGAATAATTCTGCCATTTTTATTATTTTTTATCAGAATAACATTTTTATTATTATAATTTCGATTATTTTTGGATCTTTTAATTTTTCAGCCTCGTGGTTGAATTTATCGTGACTTGGATTACTTTTGAAATTTCAAGAATCTAAAACTTGGACTTTTATTTTATTGGATTTTTCTAGTTTTTGTACAATGTAGTATACACAATGCAAACTTTTTACTTAAAATTTTTTTTAAATTTATATCATACCTACCCTAAATTATTTATTTCTTATTGAACCCATTGATTATCTACCCTCCATTTTACCTTTTTGTGCAGCAGGTAGATAAACAATAATGTTTTATGTTTACAACAGTACAATTAAAGCTGTTTTCCTGCGATGCTTATAACTTTTGTTTATGTAAGCAATGACCCAGAACAACAGCTATTGAAGTGTTTAAATATTCATTGTTCTGTCAAAATTAAATTGTAGACATATCTGATTTTTAAATTTGTGTAATAGTTTTTAAACTATTACACATAATTTTTTTAAATCCATAAGAAATGTATCATATTGGTAAATAGATATTTTTAATGTTATCCTGGGACCAACTATTATCTATTATTACTGTAATTGGAAAGTCATTAAATGTAGTGTAAGGTTATACATGACCTAATTAAAAATTGCGACAAATCAAAACTGTACAAATCGTTGTTATAACAATATATTTAAAATTATTTGCTAATACATGTATATCTTTTATAAAATTGATTTTAGAAATATTATTACACAATAACAATAACCACAAACTATGAACTTATGAGAACAATGATTTACACAAATTTAAATCTTAAAACTGGAAAGTTTTATGTACGTAAACAAACGATTGGATATTTTTGAAACGTCGCAGTTTGTTGGACTAGAAGTTTAATTTATGAATAATATTATTAGTCCATTTAGATGTTGGAACTGTTTAACTACTAGATTTTTTTAGGTTTAGGTACATGTGTTAAAGCTTACATATTATAATAAAAAAGTTTTGAACCGTCAACGAGTCAGTCTCCTTAAACGTAACAAATAAAATTAATATGTACCAATAATTTTACTTAATATTATAATATATTAACGTTCAATTACAATTTTTAAAATATTACATATTAATAGTTTTTATAACAGTACAATAACGTCAAGGGGAGAGGGTGGTGTATTGCTACTTGGTAACATTTTAAGTGGTCAATTGAAGGAAAAAGAGACACGGGGGTTTGGTTTATAAAACAACACTGAAATATTTTACAATAGGAAGTTTAATTTTGGCGAAAAAAAACTTGTCAATTTTCGATTTAACGCAATGGACATGGGCTATACGGGAAGGACCTGGCATACTCAGTGTAGTGTTGTTTTTTGACTCGCTCTTACATTAAACGATAAAACTATGTTATGGTATGATAATATATTGTATATGTATATCACCTACTGATAAATATTATTATATAATATTAAAGCAAATTTACAATGTTGTTAACCGTGGACTTGATGCTGCATGATCGCTGCGAATTTGATAGGGCTGGTCGACATGTCGGTTGTTCTTTTTTCATTGGATCCTTCGACGAATCAACTGGATAGCGCCAGACAGCACAAGGTCAGTAGCCACCATCCGGCTAGGCAGCAGACCAATGGAGCTGAATTGCCGTCGTGTACGGCTGCTGGTTGTTCTCCTATAATGGTAAAATATCGTGTAAGTATAATATTATAAGTTTAAGCTGTTTAATGAACAGTGCAATGTCAATGGTGTGTACAAATTGATGTATTTTATGGTGGTAATAAAACCCGCCGAAGTACATAGATACCACAGAACCAGTCCCTCCTCTCTTTCTACAATGTTTGACGATGTAGAAATGTAGTGTGTCAGGATTTTTAAAATAGGTTTTTTGCGACTGGTTTATAGGAAACAAAATATTTCGTTTCTTTTTTTATAGACCGTCAAAGAAAATATTAACTATACTTAATTTAAAATGTATAAATATGTACACGGATATTTTGTTTTTGTAATTTTATTTTTAAAGTTATTTCGTTTTTTTTAAATTTATTACTGAACTAATTAGTTTAAGTCTTATAATATTATGCTTATTTGTATACAAGAGTTTTAAGATGAAATTATCTGATAGACAAACGGTATTACCTCAGTTTCACAGATCACTAATATCGGGTTGACTACAAGTGTGTTTTTAACCCGGTAAATCGACTATAATATAAATATTTACTATCTACAACCAGTCATAAATGCTTTATAATCCAGATTTTTTTAATTCAGTTTAACTCTTAAATTATTTACAAAAAACAGTTTAAATTTACGTCCATAATCCTTTAAAGCAATAACGCGCATGACTTTGGACCGTAATTATCATTTATTGTGCAATACTATTATGCCATTACTGAAGTCCTAAACTCCTAAGAGCTGCCTTAGTAAAGCAAAACGATAAAAATCTTGTTATTTTTAATTTAAACCAAAAATATAACGTCCGTTGTTCTATGTATGAAAATGAGTTTCTAATTTTATTTTATCGTTTAATAGCCATAAAATGTAATTTGATACTATGTAGAATGTAGATTGTAGTCGCAGTGTATTATTTTTAAGGTTCTTTAAAAGCTTACGTCTTTTTTTATAAGAATATTAAGAGGGTTAATTTTATATTTTTTTCCTCCATACAACTTGGCTTGACAAGAGTTTACAAAAGAGGCTGTTGGCGAAGTGTTATTAAAATGATTACTACCAAGCTCTGCCCGTTATTAATTAGGTACCCACTGGCAGAAAGTCAGTTTCTCTCTTAAATTATTTTCATCTGCATTGTTTTTTCTAGAAGCCTCTATCAATATTTTGACTAACTTGAAGTAGGTGACAAAACACCACTCTAATTTATCACCAGACTGATAAATCGGAATTAGTAAATTTAAAAAAAGGGTAAAACACATTTATTATTAATAAAACTAGTATTGTAAGGGTTTTTAAATTAAATCCTTCTTTTTAGTTTCCACATGTATAGTAGAAAATACTCGTTGTACAATGACGTATTGTTTTATTGTATAAATTTATGCTATACTAAGCGATTAATGATCTAATTAAAAATTATAAATTTTTGGGTATGTTTGTTTTATGGTTATCGTTATCAATAGCTAATTGTTAGAAAAATTTCTTTCACGTTTCTTTGACACAAAAGTAAAACTATTTTTAAGTATTCCACTACCTTTTAGCTTTTTAAAATGTGATATTACCTCCGCAAAAAACTAATTTTTTTTTAATTTCATTTCATATCAATCAATTTAAAGAAAAAAACGTTAATGTGTTTTTCGAGGACAGCGAGCCAATTTACATAAAAAAATTAGAGGCATCTGCTGCACGATTTTTTTATTTTGTAAGCCAGTGTAATTATCTTGACATATCCATATACCGACTCGAGTACTTAATATCTTCATGGATCACGCAACCAAAGTATGTTGTTTATCCTTCGTGTTGGTTGTACTATAATAATCGCTTACATTATACCGGACCGTATAAAATGTATGCAACTGTATACTTATTTCTGTAAGTTATACGCCTACTTCAGGCCACCCTCTCTTCCTGTTCTATAAAAACGAAAAAAAAAATAATAACAAATAATAATCGCTTCACTTGGTATATTGATTCGTCGTTACTCTTCCAACAGTCGCGTTAGCTTTCTATAGAAATAACAAAAACAATACTTGTTTGTTTACACAAATCTTGAAATCGAAACGTTACTAACATAGTATACTGTATGATTTATCTGTTTGTCGGTGGTGTACACAAAAAATACTAATGTCACAACTTGAAAGTAGCAAAAAAAGTTGGGCGAATATAAAAATTGGATTATTCGTTGAACTCTCACGGAATGAGCGCAATTAATCCGGATTTACGGGCAATGTCCGTGTACCGTTAAAACAACGTAGATAATAAAAATGCACGACTGAGAAGAACGATACGATTTTTCATACGCATTTGAATTTTAAAATACACAAAAAAAAAAAAACCAAATCTTGATCGGGGCTAAAAAATCACCTAAAGAACTACGTTCTTTTTCCTCGGCCCGGTGTAGTGCAGTCGATTAAAAGTGACAAATGTATTTAAACGCGTCCCCGTATCCGTAATATGTACTGTTAACGATACAATAGATACTATATTAGCTACTAACTCTATCAATCCAAACATGGCACTTCGGAATCGTGTAGACGCATTTGTATTACAAATCGGAGTGTCTCTTTTGCCGAACATCAAATTATTGAAAGTTGAAAAATCGTAGGTTTAGTTTTGTTAGTATAAATAGAAACGCCGAATAAGTTAAATTTTGGTCATCAAATTTATGGCGAATTCGAAGTAATGAATGAAATTGTATCGATCCCTCAAAGTATTTTTCCGAGAGTTTTTCGCGAAAGTACGTTATTTAATAAAATACTTTCTCTGATTCGCGTGGAAGTTAAAAAAAAAAAACAAACACTGGTGTGCACTTCGAGCTGATCAGAGATGCTGAATTAAATTGCTTTCCCCGATCGAAGTAATTGAAAACGATGGGATTTTGCCGTACGCAGAAAAAGATAACATCATTTTCAACAATATCTACTCCTTCCTCTGTGTTGTTGTTATCCTCTGAACCATTCAAAATGCTTTTATGAATATTAATTTGCAAGTCGTTTGGCCGGCGTTGGTGTAGTGCAATCGACGTTTTTGTTTAAACATGCAGTGCCCTGTGTCATAGTTTTAATTGAAAGAAAAATATATTTTATTTACCACAGTAGAAAAAAAAATATCAAACCAACCAAACTTTAAAGCGTTCACTATTACACGCAATATTATTTGATTAAATAATAAAGAACCGAGCTGGAGTTTAACTAGGTACTATAAGTGTACTAAGTGATAACGTATTGGTTTTTAAGGTCATCCGGTAGCCAGTCATTATTGATTTTTACTGAATACAAAGTATAGTTTTTATTTTAATACATTTTAATTGTTTTAAACGCCATTGAGCAGTTTTTTTTATAACCGGACGTGTGATTGGCATGAGTTTCAGTAAAAATCCTTGGTTTGTACATACAATTAAACAATGTATAGTCAATTGATATTCATATCAGTTTTGTTGGTCGAAGCATTCAATGTAGGTAAACGAAAGTATTCCCTGGGAAACGTCGAGTATATCAGCTGTATATCGATTATTTACTATACTAAATCCTATAGTGTAAGACTATAATATCATTTTGAACAGTTATACTCAGACGAGAAGTAGAAAAAAATGGGTAGAATTTATTTATATTTAATCAGAATCGCTAAAAGTTTATTTAAAATCTTTGTGTACTACAGTATACAAAAGAGCGCAGGACATTTTCATTAATATCTCAGCTTTGTTTTTAAAAGTAATTGTATAATGTGTTTACTTTAAGCTCATTTTTATATTTTAGTATTTGTTAGGGTTTCTTTAGAACTACCCCTTTTTATGCTGTGTAAGAATATTTTTTTTAATTATAAAATAACCACCATATTTTTTTCCGCGTCTTCTTAGTTCTTGCACATATTTAAGTATTATAATATACTTACGAGTATGTGTCTCTTAAACCTATTAAGGTAATTTTACGCAGCCACCAAGGGTCTTTGTGGGTAAATCCAACGAATTACCCGTAGCACACAATTGAATTTCTTAAAAGATATCATTGTGAAAACGAAAAATGAGGATTCTCTTTGCTCGTGTAGATATTCGCTACATTTTATTCGCCTAAAGTATTTCTATTAAATTCCTTGAACGTAAGAAAACTTTTTTTTAACATTCTTTTTTTTTTTTTTTTACTTGTCGCATTTTTTTAGTTTTTGACATTATTGCGTAATTAATTGAAATTTGTTATTTAGACAATAGCAAACTGTAAAAATACCTTTCGAGCTTCGCATCAAAAACAAAATTAATAACTGAGAGAGAGATCGCTTTACTGGAGGGATAAAAAATATTTAGAACGAGCGACAAGAAAAAAAAAGTACTACGTTCTTAAATTAATTTAGGTGCCTATTAGCGTTTTAGACGTATACTATGTCAAATTTGATGTGTAAAAATGAATTATTTTAGTATGTGAAATAAAAAACAGAAAAATCGGTACATTGACTATTTTTTTTTATTAGAAATCTGTGCTTATCACATCTAAGATACATCATAATTCATAATAATAGTAACTACATAAGCTTCATTCGATTTGTTAATACAGCTGCGAATTAAACAATTATTGTCAGTTGATATCAGAGTTGTAGATATTATTATGTGATTATTGTGAAAGAATATTTATTTCCTGTCCGGTCCAAATATGAAACGTCTAATCATATATTTAAGCGTTCAATAAGTTGTTGACAATAAATCGATATTGTAAAAAATCACCCTGTAGATTGTTGCCCATTCATGTGTACGCTACAATTTATGTAAACTTAACTGTTTTAGAACAAAGTAAATAATGTGTGGTTCGTTTTAAGTCTTAAACGATTCATTTACTTAGCTTAATCTTATACTTCTTGCAGACAACTTGCAAGTGGATTATCCTTCCATGCGGTTTGCTGCATTGACTTGACTTTTGATGCTACTTGTTCACAGGCTTAATTCAAAACTAATTATTGTCTTACACAATTATCTTCTTCTTCGTATTATCTCATACAAGTGGGATTTACTCCCTAATGGCC